ACAAAACCACATTGCCTTAAATAATCAAACTAACCTCAATTTATTTTGAAAATTTCGTCAGACGCGCTAAAAGTCAAAACGGCGCATCGGCAACCGCGCAGCACGCGCTTCGAGCTTCGAAATTAAAACGCGTTCCGGAGTTTGACGACGAGTGGCGTGCGGAAAAAGCGGACAGGCGGACGTACGGCGCGCCGGACTCGCGGGCGGACAGACGGACAGACAGACAGACAGACAGACAGACAGACAGACAGACAGACAGACAGACAGACAGACAGACAGACAGACAGACAGACAGACAGACAGACGGGCAGTGGGTGGCGGACAGACTCTGATTCCTGGCGCACCGCAGCGCACCGCGCTGCCCGTTGCCCCGTTCTCTGTCACAGCGTCACAGCCGCAGCGAGCGTCCGCGGCGGTCCTGCCGCTTTGTCGCTCTGTCTCTCTCGCACCCTCGTGGACAACCCCGCGAGTGCGACAGAGACAGAGCGAATGCGCCCGGGGGTCCACTGCGGTGCGGACGGTGCACAGTGGGCCAGAAGACCGGTGGAGGCGGCCAAAACTCTAGACGCGTTTCGAGCTCCGAGTCGCTAAACGGGACTCGAGCCGAACGTGTGCCCACCAATGCAAACGAGGAATCCATTGGTGGGGTCACACGTTCCGTTCGAGTCCCGTTTAGCGACTCGGAGCTCAAAACGCGTCTAGAGTTTTGGCCGCCCCCACCGGTCTTCTGGCCCACTGTGCGGTGCGGACGCAGCGCGCGCTGCAGCTCATCGCTAATTTCCGGCGAGGCTGCCAGCCCCGCCAGCCCCGCCGGCAGTCTCTGTCTCCCTCGCACTCGCGGGGCGTGGCGGGGCGGCGCGTGCGGGTGCGAGAGAGACAGAGTGGCGAACCCCCACCAGCCCGCCAGCCACTAGGGCTGCCAACCTTTGAGAACAAAACACTCAGCCTGGAGTGCGGGGCCGCCGTGCGTGACAGCCGAGCCGGCCTATCTGCACGGCGCTCGGGTCTGTCTGTCTGTCTGTCCTGTCTGTCCGTCCGTCCGTTCGTCTGTGTGACTGAGTGACCGTCCGCACGCGTGTGGGAGTCGCCCGTTGCTGGCGTTGCTAGGCGACGGCTTGTTACGACCGAAATGGCTGGACGGACGACGGCCCGAAGGCCCTCGCTGGACTGCCCATCATAACCCGCACCCTTTGTGCTAATACGCATGCGCGCTCCCAGCGCACCCTCGGGCCGCGCTCCGGAAACACCACCAGTGGTCATAACACTGAAAATAAAAGTGAATCGAAGCCGGAGGCGGCTTGAACCCCGACCACCAGCTGAGCGGACCCCTACTTTTCCATCAAGAAAATTACGGAACCCCCCAAAAAATGTTGGAAACTTATTTTATCGATGAAAAGTGGTCCCCTCTGGAAACTGTTCTGGGCACCGTCAGCCTCGCTGGAGTAGCGCGCCATGCCTTGCCACGGGCTGAGTCCGTCTCTCTGTCTCTCTCGCACTGCCACCGGGACGACCGGGACGCCCGCGGGTGCGAGAGAGACAGAGAGTCGAATTGGCTGGATAGTGCAGTCTTGCGAATTGGCGTGACTCGCCGGTGCTCCTGCACTGCAAGACCGCTTCGCCCCCCTCCGGGTCACGTCCTCCAAGCCTCCACGGCCTCCTCAGCGCTCGCTTCGCAGAGCGGCACGCCGTGGCGCCCAGCGATAAGGAAATGAAAAACACTTGTTACCCCTTGTTGCATGTCACCGTGACACCGTGACAACCGTGACGGGAGTAGCAACACCGGGCGCGCCGCTCGCCCGTCTGCCTGTAGGCTGATAAGCCGTTTTCGTCGCTCTGTCTCTCTCGCACCTGTACGGGACGCCCCACGAGTTCGACAGAGACAGCGCGACGAAAATGGCTCTCGGAGTCAGTGGGCCGGGCTATATCGAGCACCGCCACGGCGATATTTCCAGCTGACTTCCAGTGCGGGGCCTGACCTCCAGCAGCGACCTCTCTTCCCGAAAGCTATTTATGCCTCGCCCTATGACTCCCCCGCGCGCCGAGGTGAACTTTGTCCGCGGCGCAGGGCTTGGCCGGGGCTCGGCCACGCGTGGCCCACTGGAAACGGCCGGACTAGCTGGAAAGCAATGCATAATGTATTCGCGGCGCGCGGCGCGCCCAAGCCAGTCCAGTCCAGTTCCTTTCCAGTGGCGGTCACGCGACGCGCGGTTTCACAGTGGCGCGGCCCATTCTTCTCGGGGGAAGTACCACTGAAAGCGAACGGAGCGCCAACGCGTCGGAAAAGCGGCTTTAGCCGGTAAACGGCGAGCGTTACGAGCGCTGTGCGTGGAGTGAAAAAATAATTGAATTTGAAACGCAGTTGTCCTGAGTGTGATGTGGCGATAACGCTTCACCGAGTTGGAGTCAGCTCACCGGGTTCCGGTGTCAGAACCGAAGAAAATAACATCCCTTCCTCCCCGGGCGGCCAATCACTTCCTGGAATTAACAGCGTACACGCTCGCCGCCCCCGGTGGGGCCGTGGGGCCGGCGGGGCGCTCTGTCCATCTCGCTCCACTCCCGCGGGGCGTGGTTCCCCCGGGGTGCGAGAGAGAGGCATGTTCGGAATCGGCCTGACACCGGGCAGCGGCGGCAGCGGCGGCAGCGGCCAGCTCGATGGCGTTCTCCCATGCGTCCATTAGGGAAGCGCTCCCCGGCCACCCCCGGCAGCCCAGCCCGTCTGGATGCGGGGAGGGGCGGGGCGGGGCGGCGGCATGCGTGAACGGCCGAATGCCGTGCCTGGCGCCCCTCTGGCCGCGCTCGGGCGTGGCTGCAGACTGACTCCGAGAGTCGTTTTCGTCGCTCTGTCTCTCTCGCTCTCATGAGGCGTCCCCTATAGGTGCGAGAGAGAGGGAGCGGAAGCGCGCGGTATGCTGTGACGGCGTGACCCCTGACCACGACGCGGGCCTCGTGGGACGGTACGCGGCGCGGCGCACACCGCGCGGTGGCGATAACAGGTGTAAATCAGACAAAGCGACGCCGCGGCCGGCCGTGCTACGCCGTTCCCTCTCCAGAAACTCGCTCGCCCTCCAGAGTTATCGCACTCGCCACCAGATTTAGGGCCGCCGGGGTGTCTCCATCCCCGCCGAGGCGAGGGGGACGGGGAGCACCTGCTCTGATTGGTCGACGACGACGTGTCTGACGACCGAAGTTTTCCTCGCCCGACCCTAGTTGGACTCACTGCCGCTAACGCGCCGATTACGCCGCCCGCCTCGAAGGCGGCCAGGCAAAAGGCAGCGGCAAAGGGTCGGCGTCACGGCCGCAGCACGACGCCAACAAGGGGTCGGGGTGGGTCGGGGTGGGTCGGGGTGGGTCGCGGAGGGTGGGGGAGCCAAGGAGAGGTCGGAGGCAGACGGCGGCGGTGGTGCTGCGCGCTGTTTTCGGCATCAGGATGTCACGCGCCCGTCTCGCGCCCGCCGGGCATGTCGGCGGGAGTTGGAGAGGGACGGGTCGGAGGAGGACGGGTCGGAGGAGGGATGGGTCGGAGGGATGGGTCGGCGGCAGGCGAGCAAGCAGCGGCGGCCGCGCCTCACCGTTAATCAATAGGGAGGCTCTGTGGCGTTGTGGGCACAGCAGCGCCGGGCGTGGCGGGGTGCGGTGTGGCGGGGCGGCTGCTGAGCAGCCCCCTAGGGGACGCCTCGTACCATGCCGCTCCCCGCCGATGCAAGCCACTCGACCAGACACCCGTTCGTTACACCGAGCGAAAACAACAACTCTGGTTTTTCATCGGGTTGCCAGATTAATATCGCAACGCGGTGAGTCGACCTGTTGCCTCCATTTTTGATAGTTTCCGCAACGAATCTGCGAGCGAGTCGGCGGCGTCCTGGGAGTCCTCCTGGGGAGCTGGAGGGCCTAGGCGCGCTGGATAAGACGGGGCCGGGCCGGGCTGAAGGTCCATCTCTCTCACACCAACACGGCACGTCGCTCGAGTGCGAGAGAGACAGGCCGACCCTGCTGGCGGGGAGCTTGCTTGAGCCTGAAAAATCCCTTTGGCCTTGCGTTGCGTCAGCGTCAGCCCCGCCCCGCCTGCCCCAGCCTGCTCCAGCCTGCTCCCGCTGGCCCAACTTGTGCGCGAACTCTGGCGCTCTCCACGCAGTTTCTTCCCCTCGTTCCTCCCTCTTGCTCTGCTTGCTTTGCAGACCAGAGTTTCTGCGCGCGTGCCCCGCATGTATGTTTAAATTCAATCAGAAATGAGTGAAGAGTCTGAGGCTTGCTCGGACCCTCCTTGAAGCGGAGGCAAGGCACGAAAAAAATAAATTGTTTATTATGACAACCATCACGCTAGTTTCCGGTTGTTCCAAGGCCAAATAGTCATCATATGAATCAGTTTGATATTTTATTCGGTTTATATTACCGCTGGGACAGAGTATATTTTTTTTCTTTCCGTGCGCGGCGGTCCACTGCCTCGGCAGCAGCGCTCTCTTTGTTGTCACCGCGATCCTTCTCCCCCTGCTCTCCCTCCCCCTCCTGCTCTCCCTCTCCCTCTCTCTCTCTCTCTCCCTCTCCCTCTCTCCCCTCTCTCTCTCTCTCTCTCTCCGAGGCTCCGTCTGTAATAAGACGGTGACGCCAGCGCGGAGCCCCTGCCGGTGTCGAGGTAGGCAAACCCGCCGCGCTGCGCCGTCGGCGGGCTAGCCCACCCTCACGGCGCCCGCTCCCCCGAGAAGGCCGCTGCGACTCTCTCTCTCTCTCTCTTCTCGCGGATCGGATATTGATTCCCAGCGACTCGGAAGAAAAGCCCGGTCGGTGTTTACCGAGCCTAACAGCCTGGCGTGTTTGTTTGTTCCAGATGGTAGCCGGGGCAGCCGACGGTGCCGACCTCCGCGCGGCGGGGCTGCCGACGGACCGCCAGAGCGCCCACGAGTCCCGGAGGCACTTCGACTTCGGCCGGGGGCGGCGCCGGCGCCGGCGCTGGCGGCCACCGGGGGCGGCATGGAGGCGGTGGTGCACAGCGCCGTGCTGGCGGCCAGCCGGCCCGCGGCCGGCAAGATGTCCGGCATGGCCAGCAACCAGCCCGCGCCCAGGAAGTCGCTCTCCATGGGGGCGCTCCGGGCGCAGCAGCAGCGCTCCAGGGTGGCGGACCAGGACCGCACCGACGACGGTGAGCGCCACGGCCAGTCCCGGACACCAGGCGCCACTGGCCGTTAGGCTGGCAGGCCTCGTTTCTTCCCCGTTAAGGCGGTGGCGTCTGGGAGCTTGGCAGTGCCGCAGCAGGGCCGCGTGCTAATGCCTGGTGCTGCCGATGACGTCACCAAGCCAAACACCATGTTGGCGGCGGCGGCATCAAAGCATCGCCGTCTGGCGCGCCAAGCAGTGCCATGGTGCCGTCATGGTGTCGCCATGGCGGCCAGACTGTCACACAGTCCGACGCAGTCACACTGACTCTGGCTCTGGTCCGCAGCGGGCGAGACGGAGCCCCTGATGGCGTCCCAGGACCACGGCGACGACGACCTGCGCGGCGAGGAGAAGATCCGTGAGGACAACATCAGCAAGGAGGACAAACCGCGGTACAGGTTCGACCACGCCCAACTCCCGACATTAATCCGCCAAATTAATTTAAACCGAGGAATTGGTGTTGACCGGTTGGTTCGGCCGTTGCAGGAAGGAGTTCAAGACGGAGTACAAGAAGAAGTTCCGGCCCTTCTCGCAGTACGAGTACGTGGAGGGGCGCTTCATGAAGCGGCGCGCCGACGACGCCCCGGCCGAGCAGCCCGAGCCGCCGCCGCAGCCGCAGCAGCCCTGGTACGCGGAGGTCATCGAGCTGCGGAAGAAGGCCGGCGAGTACAAGGTACGCGGTTCAAATACCAAGTCATTTTAATTTTTTTTCGAAAGTTTTTTTTTTGTTTGACGAGCGTGAAATTAATCTTGTTCTCTCTTGCAGCACCGCGGCTGGGGCACCGAGCTGGCCCCGGAGCACATCTCGGAGCTGTACAGCAAGCAGATCCTGCTGTGGGAGCAGGTGTCCAAGCGGTCGTCGCTGTCGGCGCTGTCGCTGGCCGCCGTGGCCGCGTCGCCGCGCTCCATCAGCAAGGAGGAGAAGGAGCGCGAGAACTCGCGGCGCACGTCGCCCACCAAGGCCTCCAGCCTGGGCCGCCAGCGGCCGCACACCGCGCAGCCCAAGCTGGCCGGCGTGCACGAGCGAAGCAAGTCGGAGAAGGGCCGGAAGGTGAGCACTGAAAAAAATCTCATTCAACGAACGTTAATCAAAGCAGATGATCCATCGCGTTTCACAACTGCTGTGATAGCCGAGAGGTTAGAGACGTGGGATCGAGTTACCGCAGGCCGGCGTTCGAATACCAGCGTCACAAAAGTTTTTTCGACTTGCTATCCTAAGGGTGGTGGTTCGAGGCCATCCGAGCGGAGTCGTGCGCAACAGACCCACATGCCGGAGGTTCGACTCCTAACAAATATTTCCATTTAATTTTACTGCCTCACCCAGTGCGGTTGAAACCCGTGAACGTGAGCCCGTTCCGTGCATGGGACGTGGTGGTCCAGGGAGTAGAGGCGTCGGTTCCCAATGCTAGGGTCGACGGTTCGACTCCCCCAACTTCTTGCGAAATTTTGACCGGGTCGGTCGAGTCCTGTTGCGTCAAGAACCCACCTCACGCCGATCCCCTCGTCATGGGCCGTGGTGGCCGAGAGCGTAAAGTCGTGTGATTCCGATGGCGGGGTCCGGGGATCGAATCCCATCATTTCATTACATTTTTCGACCGCCTTCCTCCCAGTGCAACTCAAACCCGTCGTCCAACACGCTGCCAGACGTACAAGCGTGATAGCGTAGTGGTCAGAGTCACATTCACCTGGCCACTACGCTGTGGGTGTCTAAAAAGCAATCCGCTTCGGCGGGTTGGCCTCGGCACTGGAGCGATGGAGTATTTGATCCATCAATCCAGACCATCCGGTGTGTGGTTGCGGGTGGTGCCTCCTTGACTCGTCGGGGAGGCGATGATAAGTCCTTTGAAGCTGGCCTAAAACGCTGTATGTTCGGTACGGGAGCGCCGGACAGTGGGGGTACCATGGGGTACACAACCAACCCTACGAAAACAAGAAGCTCCCACCAAACCTCTTCTCTGTCTGAGTCTCTCTCTGTCTCTCTGTCGTCTCACTCTACGTCCCGCCCCTCAAAGAGCTTCGTACTGGGTGCTCTCACCCAGCTGCCTGAGCTTTGGGGTCCTACTGGGTCCCCCGGCGAACGCTTGGGTCGCTGACGGGATTAACCCCAGGTACCTGATAGCACCGGTTCCCATCCCGAACACCGAAGTAAAGCAGGAGGCCTCCCCATTAAGACTGGGGAGGGGGTGTAGAGTTCAAATTTTTTTCTTTTCCCTTTCAAATTTCTCAGTCAATACTCGTTCGGTTCCTTATACGGGGTAGTATGCGGGCTCATTCCAAAGAACTGGCCGGGCCGAATCGGGAGGCATTGTTGCGCGCCAGTCACATTTAGCGACGCTACAGCTCAAAACGCGTCTAGAGTTTTGGACACCTCCACCGGTCTTCTGGCCCACTGTGCGGCGTAGCTGTGCCTTCTGAACGTTTAACCCGTTGTTGCAGACGGAGAAGACGGACGACAACAAGAAGGAGGCGCTGCCCCGGTCGTCGCGGAAGGAGTTCCCCCTGAGGCATCACCTGGAGAGGACGACGGGAGCAGGTGAGCGCCTCCAACGACTCTGCGTGTCTGTCACTGCACTGTGAGTGTGTCCAGTGCACAGCCTGGCACAGCGCAGTGCTGATTCCGAACAGTCGCTCTGTCTCTCTGGCAACCCTTCGGTGCACCCCATGAGTGCGAGGAGACTGTTTGGAATCGGACGGCAGGTGCGATGCTTTATTACTGCAGCGTGACCACAAGCGTGTGTTTGTCCGGCACAAAAAAAGTAACATCGATTTTGAGAACGAGATTTCGAACCGCCAGGTCCACCGAATTGCCGTCAATCTGCATCTGACTTTCTCTATCTCGACACTTTTTACTCACGTAGAGTCTTTCCGTCTGTCTGTCGATCTGTCTGTCTGTCTGCCTGCCTGTCTGCCGAGATAAGTCCCGAGTTATCCAGAGGGGTGTCTTTCAGAGGACGGCGCGCTCCTCCTGTCCCCGACCAGGGAGAAGCTGGAGCCTGTCCCACGCCGCACAGAGGAGCCCTCCGCCAGCCCCAAGAGAGCCCCCGGCCTCGCACACACAGGTGCACACCACTGTACCCCCGCCAGGGCACGCCGGGCCAGCCCAGGGCCAGCCACGCCCCCGCCTCTCACTCTGCAACGCCCTGCTCTCGCTCACCGCCTCCCTTGGCTCTTCCCATTCATCCCTCGCTCACTGCCTTCCTCTTCTTCACTTCCTTGACTCTTCCCATTCATTCCCTCGCTCTCGCTCACTGCCTCCCTCTTCACATTCCTTGGCTCTTCCCAGTCACTCCCTCGCTGTCGCGCTTGAACAAGCCTTGGTGGGTGCCGGTAGTGGTGATGATGGTGGTGTTAGATTTAGCAACTAACTCGCCACAGTCAAGCGCCTAGTCCAACAGCACGCGGCTGCACTACTAACTCTACGAACCGGAGCGCCAATCGCAATAGTGTAGTCTCCTCCGGGCCGGTAGAGCATGCCTTGCAACACTCCGAGATGCGCACTAGCTGGCCGTCGAGCGGCCCAGGTCAGTCCCAGCCTGACGCCTGTCCTCTGCCTTGCAGGCCGGTCGCAGTCGCTGGGGCCGGGCGGCGCGGGCGGCGCGCCGGAGACGCGGTCCCCGAAGAGGTCCCCGAGGCCGGCCACCAGCACGACGGCCGCCTCTGCAGCGCCCGCCGAGCGACGCCCCCGACCAAGTAAGTCGACCGTCGCGAACGAGGACGGTCTACATCTAACGATTCTTCTTCTTCCCGGCAGCGTCTCAGTTATTTTGCCCCGGATCGTTTTCGTCTGTGTCGCCCGCATGCGGTTCTCTTCTAAGTCTGCTGTTTCCTCTCTTGAGTCAGTGTGTAGAACCTGAGTGCGGAGCAATGAGTTTTTCCCAAGTAAATACTGCTTGGCAGGACTTCCGTCCGGATCAAGTCTAGGGCACGCGCATGAGTTAGCATCTCTGGTAGACTTGGCTCGGAGGGAGTGGAAATGTAACTGCATCCAAAGTTTTGGATCTTTGAAAGAAATTGCTCCTCAGTCATGATCACAAGCTTAACTTCCTTTCCTTGTGCACAGGATGTGGTCACGACGAGACATTCGTACTTATTTTTCTCCCTCTCGTTGTCAGTTTAGAAGACAATTAGATTAGACACAGTTTATGAGGTTTCTTTCTCACCTAGCTGTGCACCATCAATTTACAAATTAACTGAGTCGATGACCAGCTGCCTAGGTCAGCGATTTTGATTCTTAATTGCAACCAAACCGTTCGCCAGAATCATTGCAAGTTTAAAAGTGCACTCAGAGAAGTAAAGATTGAACACTCTTTTGCAAGCCACCGGTGAGACTGATTCCACCAGAACGGGAACACATGTCCAAGCGGTGCCAGTCATGAGGCGTTCCTCTGGCTTGTTTCTCCGTCCATATTGAGCCATGTGTCCACCGGGCGGTCGAGGCAGTCATGATGGAGAGAGAGCGGCCAGTTGTCACTCGTGGACTGCATATAGCGGCATCTAGCACCCCAACCAAGTAGCATCTGTTCCTGGGTCGAATGTAGATAGTTAACTTTGTGCCGCATTCGAGCCAGCAGTGACGTGGCGTCGCCAGCAGTGTGTCCATTCATTCTCTAGCTGTTTTAAAGATGTTAATTGAACATTCTCGATATTTCTAACTTGTTGCTTCCTGGCGGCGCCATAGTCTTTCTAGCTTTCAGGGCAGCGCGCCCCGCCCAGTTGGTCGCAAGCAGCCGGACTAAGTAGATACAAGGAGTGGCAGGGCGGCGCGAGGACAGAAAAAAATAAAACTAGTAACTTAAATCTGTCTTGGCGCGAACCCCGCCACGTTTGTAGCCTATAGCTTATTTTCGCAAATGTATCTGAACGCCCCTAAATACGTTTTTTTGTGGATGTCTCTTTTATTTTCCGTAAGTTTCTTTACGCTTTTGGCCTCTCTTTTTTTTCTAGCAACCCTGAACACAACTGCCCCCTCCCGTTCCAAAAGTAGAACCTCCGCCTCCGCCTCGGCCCCCTCGAAAGGCTTTGGCGAGAACAAGGCCCAGCCCGGCCGCGCCGCGTCGGCAGCCTCGTCCAAGAGCTCGGCCGGCACGGCGGACCTCAAGAAAAGACCGGAAAAGGAGGCGCAAAAGACGGCGCAAAGAGGGCCCCCCACGGCCAGGGCTAGGCCAGCCAGTAAGTAGAGAGGCCGGAGCAAGCACGGCCCGGCACGCCGGCACGGCCCGGAGCGAGGCTAGGAGTCGGCACCAAGGGGCGGAGCGGGCACGAGCCCCGGTTGGGTCGGCCACTAGCTTTTCATTTTTTCTTTTCACGGTGGTCAGTTGGAAAAAAAATTAAAAACAAACAGTCGTTTTAAGTTAGTCAAGTGGGTAAGACAAGCCCGTCGAGCACGGCGTCGGAGCGGGTTGCCTACCTGCGCGGCGGGCCGTGTGTGCTGTGGCGGCTGTGGCACGTGTGTTTGACGCACCCCCCACCACCTGTCTCGCCCTTCTGTTTTAGTGCCGACCCAACTGGTGACTGACGAATTCCCGCTTGCCTCGGTCTCGTTGCCGTGATTTAAAAAAAAAAAAAAAACAGACCCTCTGCTTATCCTTGAGACAGCTTTGCGTTGTGTGTCGGCTTGATGTGTTCCCAGTATGTCTTCTCTTTCTGCTCACACCTGAGGTGGCAACGGCCTTCCAAGAGTAGAGTAGATCTCTATCTACTTCTTGACAAACCAATACAAAGTAGTTATGTTGGTAACGCTTTCGTTTGACTTAGTTTTGTTTTGGTTACAGAGCTTTATATCAGTAGTTAAAGTAGCGCTTAGACGTATAACTTGATTAACACTTTTCCACTGTCACACTTGTCTACTTGTCCTGTATCTTTGTAGGGGACAAAGTCAATCCTTGATTTACTTTCAGTCTATACATAAGTGGCCTGAGCATTTCAGTCATCGAACACGAACACGGGGAGCTGCGTCATCTAGCGCGGCTGACAGAATGTTTACTCTGTTTTATTTCTCATTACTCTCTTGCTGGGTGAAAGTGATACTTGCATGCGTGAAAACACTGCAGTGAACTTACTCTACTTTAGAACTTCAGGGATGGGCGAAAGCGTCTTGTGGCTTTCGCACGGAACTAGCTTAGCTTTTTTTTTTTTGTTAGAGCCAACCCGAAAATGGGACTAGTCGAAAGCAAACTGGTTGAGAAGGACATCCCCATAGCCAGTCGCCCATCCCTGGACGGCCTGCCTTTGGCCTGCCTTTGGCCTGCCTGCGTGGCCCTTGGTCCTCGGAACAGACTGGTACGGTGCGTCTGTTCCTGTGCCAGGCGGGGAGGCGGAGCCCGAGGAGCCCGAAATGGAGCTTGAGCCTATCGTCAAGTCGCCGCCCGAGCCGACGAGGGTCAAGTCTCCGGAACAGATCATCATGCGGTCCCCGGAACCCGTCAACTGGACCGTGCCGCTGGACACCGGCAAGACGTTCACCGTCACCCACAACGTCCCCGACGGTGGGTCCCCTGGAACGCTCCGCCTTCGACTCGCTCACTTCTGGAGGTTCCGCACCGCATCACCCCTCCGCGCTCCGCGGCCCCGCCCCGCCGTCTGCACTGATGGAAAAAGTCCTCATTTTGCGTTTCGGTCTTATTTTGGCGAATCAGTTGTTTCTCGATCATAGTTCAGGTAGAGTCGAGACCCTTCAAAATAAGAGTTGGTAAAACCATTCGTCTCGTTTAGATTTGTCTGGGAACAAGAGTGCAGTGTCCTATAGCTTAATAAACTCCTTGTCAGTTTGATAAAAAATCAACCCCTCTCACATACATCTGGAATTATGTCCTAAGGTGAATCTCGAAGTGACGGACTATTTTTTCAGTGTATACGACACGCGGCTCATTTTCGAATGGCACCACATCTGCTCATTGCCAGCGGCAACTTGGCCACACATGACATACACATCAGAAATAGTGACTAAGCAGAGAGGAGGGATACCACAAAGTTTGGCATTTGAAGTAACCCAAATGGCAGCAGCGAAAGAGCGGCTGGAAAGCGCCTGTGAAGCAGGCAACACGTTTGGCTTGTTTTGACAGTGGCGTCACGATGTTGCCGTTGTGTTGGTATGACTGTAGACACGTTTGGGTCGCTCTGTAATTGTGTGTATGTTTTTGTGCACTCACCTCTGGAAACCCAACTCCTTTAAATGCAATAATGACTAACCTGTTTCTCGAGTAAAAACGCTTTTTCTTACGAGAGTTGGTGGTGTGGTTCGTTTTCGCTTAGTTCCTGTTAGCAAAGAGGGTTTTGTTGGCATGCTCTTTGAAGTAAAACTGAAATTACTCGACGCGCCTCCTCCACGGCCACTCTGCAGCGCTGGCGTTCTGTTTGCAGGAGAGCGCGCCCTCGGAACGCCCAGCCCCGCCCCGCCAGCCAAGGCAGAGCCCGCCAAGCCCGCCGCGCCCGCCGCGCCCGCACCAGGTACGTTTCTCTCTTTTCCACACGTGCAAAAAAAGAAAAAAACAAGAAACGTTATTTTTCTGACTATCTTGGTTTAAACTTTGAACCCATGCCATATTTTTCTGGCTGTGCTAAAGCACTGGCTTGCCAGACAGAAAGTCTCCCGCTAGAATTTTTTTTCGTAGTGCCATACCGTTTTTAATTTTTGTTTTAAATTTGCTTAAGTGTTTTTATTATTATTTTCCTCCTTTTGTTGTTACGCACTTTTAATTTGCGCCATTTTTATTTTTGTTTTCGTATTATTTTTGCTTTATTTAGTTTCACTGACCGAGTCGGAAACCCTGCTCGCCCTATCACCCTCCCCCGTCCCCACAGACACCCCCAGTCCGAGCCAGACGTGCTCCGAGCTGGGCTCGCGCGTCGCCTCCCCCGCCACCCTGGAGGTCATGTCCATCTGCCAGAACAGCGGACCCTCCCCGACGACGTCCCCCGCGGCCTCCCCCGCGGCCTCGCCCGCGGCGGTCCGAGTGACGTCGGTGACGTCGAAAAGTCCCGACCCCGCGGACGGCTTGGCCAGTGGCCTCGTTGATCTGAACCCCACCAACGGTTGGAACAACGGCCACGTCGATTTGAACGCCACCAACGTCTGGGGCAACGGCCACGCCGACCTGAGTGCCAGCAACGGCAACGGCCTCAGCAGCTTGACGGAGTCCTCCCCGGACCTGCTCACCCCCAGCGCCTTCACCCCCAGCGCCCCCGAGGAGCCCGTCCACGTCGCCGACCTGCTGGCCTTCGCGGACCCCGGCACGCCGTTGGCGGCCAAAAAGGCCGACGGCCTCCTGGACGGCGCTGAGGCCGTGGCGGCGTTGAAGGCCGCCAACGGAGTCCTCGCCGACGTGAAGGAGACTGTGGTCTCGTCCAGCCCCTCTGAAAACCTCCTAGACACCTCGCTTACTTTTTAACAGCCCTTCTCGCTCGCACAGCCTTCCTTCTGATCGTCTTTACTATTGCCTCTCCGCCTCCGCCCCTGCTTCCCCTTCCTCGGCATCTGCTTTAACGCTTACTCAGCCAAGGCTTCTTACACTGTACTTGGGCCAGTCAGTCCCATAAGTTGTTAGTGAATGCCATAGTCTCTCTCGCGTCTCTGCTTGGCTGTGACGGCGCCTTGCCCTGCTTGTCCTGCTGGCCCTGCTTCTGGTGGCGGTCGCTAACTCTGTCTCTCTGCCCGTCTTCTTTGCAGCTGCTCCGAAACCCGCTCCCCGCAAACCCGACCCCAAGGGGCCCGCCGCCCCGCCGCCCGCCGCGGCGCCAGCGGCCGCAGCGCCACCCAGCAGCGCCGCGCCGAAGCAGCCCGAGCCGAGGGCGTCGCCGGCCAAGACGACCACGACGGCCACGACCAAGCCGGCCGACCCGATGTCGTCCTCCACCTACGGCTCCCTGTCCGGCTCCAGTGGACCCACGGCCTCCCCGAAGGCGTCCCCGAAGGCGGCCCCCAAGACAGACACGACCTCCAGGTCGAGCACCAGCGAGCCCAAGTCGGACCCCATGACGTCGTCCATGACGTCGTCCACCATGGGGCCCTCCAAGGGCTCCGCGGGCAGCGCAGGATACTCCACAAAGACTGACCCCATGATTGCGTCCACGGCAGGCAGCATCGCCGGCTCCTCTCTCAAGTCCGACCCCATGACCACGTCCATGTCGGGCAGCAGCTGGGACGGGTCTTCCCTCAAGTCGGACCCCATGGCCGCCTCCATGATGGGCAGCAGCTTGGGTGGGTCGTCGCTCAAGTCGGACCCCATGGCCACCTCCATGATGGGCAGCAGTCTCGGTGGCTCGTCGCTCAAGTCGGACCCCATGACGACGTCCATGATGGGCAGCAGTCTCGGTGGCTCGTCCCTCAAGTCGGACCCCATGGCGACGTCCATGATGGGCAGCAGCATGGGCAGCTCCTTCGACCCCATGACGTCCTCCATGATGGCGAGCAGTATAGGCTCGTCCAAGGCGGACCCCATGTCCATCAGCACCAGCTCGGCGAAGGCGGACCCCATGACGACGTCCGTCATGGGCAGCCTGTCCGGCAAGGCCGCGGACCCCATGACGTCATCCGTGATCGGCTCGCTCAACGGCGTGGAGGACAAGTCGGCGGGCGGCGCGCTCAAGTGCCTCGACGACCCGTCGTTCATGTTCGACGCCAAGGCCTCGGCGCCGGCCGCGCCGGCCGCGCCCAAGGTGCAGGTGCCGCCCGCCGGAGGCTACAGGGTCTTGGAGGCGCCGACGCCGCCGCCGTCGCACACCTCGGCCCAGCCGCCGCTCGCGTCCGCCCAGCTGGACAGCGCGAGGGACCGCTTCGACAAGTTCTGGGGCAAGGAGAAGGAGGGGCAGCCGTAAGGGGGAGCGTCGCCAGCGTCGCCAGAGCCAGGGTCGCCCGGGAGGCCGTCGTTGGGCCACTTCGACTGCCTCTCGTGGCCGACTTGTAAAAATTGTGATTTATCTGTAAAGTAGACGAGTCGTGAGTTGGGCGGGTGAATAGGAGGAGAGTGCCTGTGGGTGACGGTCTGGGGACTTATGCCGTTCCGGAGTGTAAGTTTTCGAACGCAGCTGTCAGGCGGGTTGCTTATCTCCAGCATTGCCTCATGAGTAGGCAATAGTTCCCACGATGCTCCAGAGTCGGAGGGGTTCCCTGCCTCAGCCTGCCTACTGGGCAACTTCTCGTGAGCAAAGCCCATATATATTGCCTGGTAGGCAGGCTGAGGAAGCTCCACCTGCTCCACCACTGAGTTGCCTACCAGCAGCGGTGCAGGCAGCAGGCAACTCCACTGGAAGTGTCGAGGGGAAGTCCAGTCCGCGTTATCAACCAAATGGACCAATGAGCTGTAACACGCACTGCCAAGCTAGCAGGGTCGCGTGGGGTAGGGTCGGTCAGTGGCATGGGGTGGGTGGGTAGAATGAAGTTGTATATTGCTTTTCTTGTTTTCCCTTTTAACGTTTGGTGTTTCTAGGTCAGAGGTCAGGAGCAATGAGTCATAAACATAGCTTCGGTGGTCTTAGGTGCTATTGTCTGCTTTGGAGGCGTTCAAGCAGTGTGATGTCATTTTGTACTGAATTTCCACTTAGATAATTTTACCACGTTTAAATAATTGTTTTGCCATCGTGTAACATGAGCTAACATTTGTTCGAAAGAGTTTGATTGATTTATTCGTGCTTGCACGGTACTTGTTTATCTTTCCTGGCGTTTTTCCGCCTTTTGAACCGACCGTACACGACAAGGCTAGTTTAAAAGTGTTGTGACCACAGAGCTGTACTTGCGCTGTGTGCTGATCGTCAAGTGCTTTGTCAAACTGAAAATTTATGTCATTGTTCATTGGGATGCTATGTAAACTTGTACAAACAAACAAATTCTATTTGAAGCATAGTCTGCTTCAATAAGACAAGGATTAGGAGCACAGTCTTGTTGCATTATTACTCAGTCGAGAACATTTATCGTACAGAGTGCAGTGTCACAATTATATTATTGTGTTATGTAAATACGAGATTACTTTCGTTGTGAAAGGTAACATATTACAAATAAAGTTTATGTTAAGTATTATGATGATTGTAACGCCAATGGTATTGTTCGAAAGATTACTTCACTTTTTAAAAGAAATTGTCGGAAAGTTGGTCAAACTTGCCCCTTTTTTACGTGGTACTTTTTGACTGCCTCACATCAACGATTCGATAGGGTCGTACACTGTGAAATTTATTGACTTGGGGCGAGTGGATAAATGGGGTCATCAAGCGGAGGTCTCTCGTATTTGTGAGGTTCCTCCGAGACCAACACGTTCCACATTTTATCAAGCAAGGTAGAAGTAGTTGTTTCCAGTCCCACGGGTACCTTAGAAAATTTTAACATGTTGTATACTTCACGCCTTGATTTCATGTTTTGTCTATTTTTGCGAATTTTATTTCTTTTACCTGGTAAATAAAGCTTATCGCAAAAAATCTACCAAGGACTTTGTAACCTCCCTTTAATTCCTCTTGTATTGGGTGCGAAAAGACGAGCGAAAGCTAAGGCTTTTTTCAATGCTTTGTGCCAAAATTTCGAACCAAACCCAATTTAAGTATGTTGTGCTGGAGCACTCCACTCCCAGACAATTTCTTAAGGACTACCCTTGTGACATGTCACAGACGTGCATTAATAAAAATTCACACATTTGAAGGGGCTCAGTCTTTATTCAAAACATTAACAATTAGTGCTCTAAGTTGTACTTCAGTGAAGGATGATTGAAATGCTAAATGCCTGGATTTAATTACAATATTCTGATACAAAAGAGCTATGGATAAACAACAAGCATGAAATGACAACATTGCAGAAAGGTAAGACATTAACACATAAGCTGTGAAATCTGATGGAGATTCCAAATTTGTAAAATTTGTTGATTAAAAAGATTTTTAAAACAAACAACATCAAAATGCAAATAAAATGAGGTGAAAACAAGTACATGAAATAGAGTGCACTAGTGGCACTTGACTAGTCTGTGTGGTTTCTTGATGAACAAGCCATATCATTTAGTTCCTTTTCCATGTTCGCGAGAAATATAAGATACATAAACGGTGACACGATAAGCTTCTACAGATGTTGACAATCATGAAATAACCCATTCCAAACTCTCATTTGAAATAAAGTGGCTAAAAGTAGTTCATTTAAACAGACTACAACAAGGGAGGCATAGCTGCAGAACATGATTACATGCAAGAACATGTACTGACCTGCTGCAGTGGACACCACCACCAACCATTTCTACCACTAGAAACACAAGCACAGATAAAGTAAGAGTGATTCATTGAATGCTTGGTGTATCCACGGACATTCAGAAGAAACTGAAACTGCCGCTGGAAAAGAGTGGTCGATTTTCTAATTTTCATGCCTTTTGAGAATTATCTACACTTCTTGGTTGAGTTTTTAAATTGCCAAAATATTCTGAAGCACAACATTTCAATTACAATTAAATAATGAAATATTCAGTCAACTGCTACACACATGCTGTTAACTCATTAACTTCCTTTGCAATACTGAATAAAAATACTTTTCTAATGTATGGAAAATATATTATGTACAATATGTTGATAAAACCAGACCACTTCAACACATCAATGAAAGTTATTCTGTAATGAAGTAACCTTATAAACTCACAAGTACTGTACTAAAGAAAAATGTTTCACCATTTTAATCTGGGAAACATAAGAAATCAAGGTTACTTCACAGTTTAAAAATCAAATGAATGGCAAAGGAGCATTTTAACAAACTTGCACTGACATTAAAATTTCATAATATAAGTTCATACAGAAAACCCTTTCCCTGGTTCCAGGAAATCATGATTCCATTTTAGAAGTAGTGAGGCAGAAACACTACTCAGCAATGAGCAATCATTTGGGTTTTAAGAAAAAAGTTCAAGTTTGAGTTATCACAGAAAGGAAAGATCCTGTAAGATTACATTAAGTCTCGTTCCATAATCACAAAAACCATGTTCCACAATTTCTTTTATCTCCACATTGAAATCAACATGGATGGATGGCCCACAAACACAAGTGAAGGCTTCAATCAGCATATTGACAATATCCAAATACCTTTATAAGTCTGGGGCAAAAAAAATGCTGGTCTACATTGATACGCCCTCCACAGAAGAGGAATGTAAAAATCGATACCTGCGTCACAAGGAAACCAAGAAGTATCTGGGAAAATTCGGGACCAGAGCATCAACAAAGAACAGAAGCTTGGATAAGATAATTCAAACACCACTAAGCAGAATACTCTAAAATAACAGTGCAACATCTATGCATTTAAATGGACACCAGGATGGAGTCAAAGTGGAGTCACACAAATATTACACACACATCATATGATGGAACCTGTAAATTATCTGTTGTTTCTATAAACACCATTAACCAGATCTAAGTTTATAGTAAATACCAAAAAATTAAAAAAAAAAAAAATCCGGGTAAAACGGAAACAAACAAACATTTTACAGTGGGTAGTTACAGTGCTACTTATATTTGTACCCTATATATCCCGCTGGGTCAGATTGAGCAAAAGTAACTTAAACAAAGACACCAGCAACTAACCTTAAGTGCAGATCATTAAGCAACTACCTAAACACATTTTTAGAAAGGCAACTTGCGCCATTCTCCTTTAAGCGGATACAGCATGACTTAAGAACAATTTTTTAAAAGACTGAAACATCTTGTAACTACATATGGTTAGCCTCTGCATGACACGTTTATACATATATTGAAATTGCTTTTTCGATTCATAGCCAACCACCAGCAATAGCAATAACAATAATATTATATAGCACATTAGAAGAAGAAACAAAAGTTGGACTATTCTAGGAAAGTATGATGAAAGAAACCTCTGACAGCTATTCTCTTAAATAGCATTTAAAAGTATACCAGGAAAAGACAGATTAAATTTTAAAGAGCCTAAATTCAACTGTAAAGTAGAGATCAGCAGTCTTGAAATTTTTTTATATGCCACTAACATTCCTTGAACAGATTGCTACCTGGGTAGAATAACATTAATGCTGAATTACAACATCACGAGTTACAAATGAAAACAAAGGAATACAACAGTCTGTAACACTTTCATTGTCATTGTTAAGGTACATAGCTTGGAGGCAAGAGATCTGAGGTATGGGACAGGAGGAATGAAAGAAGCGCCTCTTGGCTTGTTCAAAAACTTGCGTAGAAGTTAATATGCTCAAGGCAGAAAGAATTGCTCATAAACACGTAAATCATAGTTATGAGCTCGACTCTATGAATAATAATATGAAAAACCAAACTGGGTCAGCTCTGGGAGCTTCATCTACTACCACTGATTTAAAGCCATTTGGAATCTGGTTAAAAATTTTAGTCAAAGATGATGAAGGCAGAAATATTAGTCCTGTTTAGAATGTTGCTGTAGTTGAGTTGATCCGTAGGTAGATGGCACCTGTTTCCCTTGAGCACTCAACTGAGCTTGCTGCCTCAGTTGAGCCTTCTTTAATTTTGTCATGAGTTGACTAGATTGATACAGCCATGAGGCCTGAAACAAAAAAGACAAGAAATCAATGACACTTTATTTTTAGATAAATAATGAATGGACAAATCCACAAGGTTTAAACTTTACTCACCACCATGCCCATGCAGTTCAGAAGAATAGGTATTGAGAAAACCATAGAGATGAACATTCCTTTGCTGTCGAAATACTGATGAGTGGCCATCAACCTTTAACAGAGAACAGCGTACAAATTTAAAACATGGTTAATGTAAAACATAAAACCAAGTGAAAGCAGACAAACCAAGAGTATATTCAAACAATACCAACCTCCAGTTGTTGGAAGCCAATTCATTTATATTTTCAGAAAAATACACCAACAGTACTAAACAACAAATTACAATGTTATGAGATTACAGTCTGTTACAGAGCATATTCTTATTAATCAGACATATTTGTTATTAATTCCCACCATACTCACAAAGAATAAAGAAGAGAATAATCTGAAAATTGCTGTGGTTCCGTGTGAGAAGGACTGTCGAAGTAACAATGACATGGAAAGCTATGAGAGCAACCATGCATGGGTCGCGCCATTCGATCTGCAAAGATAAAATAATATGATTACAAAATGGCCACAAATTTGATCAATACTAAATAACATTTAAGTACACAGTCCCCTTCCAATAGAAATCTCTTAAGAATATTTTGGAACAACAAATAAATTTGAACTGAATCTACGATGGGTTTTTAATTGAATTCGCGAATGAAATGTCAACGAGCATATCAATATAAAAAATTACCAGGAATAAGCATTAGGCACAAAGTATCAGATGTTTAGCGTCATTAGCCTTTGCATTGAAATACAAGAAGGTACAAAACAGAAATCCTAGACGAAACATTGCAAATCAATACAATCAAGTTGCTCACTCATGAAATATTCACAGCCTAGCAGCCTACCACAGGGCCTTCATGACCTAACCTTGACATGACAAGCAAGAAGTATCTGTCTTACGTTAGGCCTCTCGCTCTGGGTGAGCGAGAGGCTTCAAAAATAGGCAGAAGGGACATCAGAGCTTACGCTTTCGCTAGCACACACACTGAGAGATACGTACGCTCACTAAAAAGTTCCAGATGCCGCTAAGCTCGTCCAAGACTAGAGGTTGGATGGTCGCCATGTTTACCTCTCAGGGCCAAAGAAAACACGGGCAGGTGGGTGGTGGGTGGCAGACGTTGTTTACGCGATATTCAGCTGTCAACAAAATAATCGAGACGTCATAATGCGCGGGAATGACCAGATTGTGACGAAATCGCTTTCATTGAACTCCGCGACTTTTAGACGTTCGGGAAAATGTGTTTGCTATCGTTCTACGACACCCTGCTTATACATTCGGCAACCCAACGAATCACAAATCTTGAATAAAAGTCAACTGGAGTTTCTTTCTTCTTCCCAAAGCCTACCTTCAACGCGAGGTCACAGTTAAATTTACAGCTTGCACACGCATGAGGATCCGGTTCATGTTCATGGCATGGAAGGGAAGGGACAAGGACCCGCAAGTCATTGACTTCGACCGGCCGGGCCGGCGTCAAATGGGACGCCTACCTCCTCGGCGCAAGGCCCCGGGCGCCGTGCAGTGTCAAATGGGACGCCTACCGCCTCGGCGCAAGGCCCCGGGCGCCGTGCAGTGTCAAATGGGACGCCTACCTCCTCGGCGCAAGGCCTCGCGGTCCTCCCAGTGTCAAATGGGATGCCTACCGTCCCGGCGCCGAAGGCCTCGGAGCCCCGGTCGCGTCAAATGGGATGCCTACCCAGCAGGCGGGGCGCGTGCCTTGCTTTCCGTCGTTTCCAACGTTTTCATAGTCATTTGCGTATTGACTTCCTTAACCGTTTAAGAAAGTGTCATTAGTCTACATAACTGAAACTGAACTGATTGTGACTGACCCCTTTTTTCAGAGAGCTTATAGTTTACAGTAGACAGAGAGATTTCTTTTATTTTGGCGGTTGTGTCCTGTGTCTATATGCCACTGTGACCGTGGTCTCTGCGCCTACATAGCGGGTCGATCCCGTGAGTGTTTTCGTCGTCCTGTCTCGCTCGCACCCGGCGGCCTCCCATACAGAGTGGTGGGAGCGAGGCAGAGCGACGGAGCACTGTTGGGGATCAAACCACAGGACGCGTGGCCCGCTCTCTGACAGCCAAATGCGTTCCACCCACGCCGGCCAGGCCGCGCGGCGCACCGCTTTCATGATACTCCGTACAGCGTTCACAGCAGACTGGGAGTCGTTTTCGTCGCCCTGTCTCTCTCGCACCAATAGGGGACACCCCATTAGTGCGAGGGAGACGGGGCGACGAAAACGACTCTCGGAATCAGTCGGCCGCCCCTCGGGTCAGTCAGTCAGACAGTCAGTCAGACAGTCAGTCCGCGGCGCGGCTCGCGACTCACAGGATGACAGGAGTCAACCGGAGACTGGCAAGTCATGGCGACCGAGGGCAGTGTCTTGTCGGCGGGGGAGTTAAGCCTTTGACCCGGGGCGAGCGGCGGGGTCAGACCACCCCTCTACCCCCACCTCACCGCGCAAGCTCAGGGGAAACCAAAGAGTCGGCTTTTTAAAAACAATCGAATGTAGTAATAAAAGAAAGATTTTTCTTAGGAGGCCGTGTTGCCACATCAGTAAGCGAAACATCTCACGATTGGCCAGCAGTGTCTAAAGGCTTCCCATCATCAGCCTGGCTACTATAGGCGATATCTGAGCTTTGCTCTGGGAAAGTGGCCTAGCAGCAGGAGGGTGAGGTAAGCATTCATTTCGAAACTGGGAGGTGCATGGGAATTTTTGCCTGGTTATGTGGTAGCACTGTTAGGGGAAGTGTGACCGGCGTTTTTGATTGTTTTTTAGCAGTGCAGCCGTTTTGCTTGGCGGCGGGCCTGCTCGACTCGCCCGTCCGAATCCGAATCTCGGCTGCGGTGAGCGGCTTGGCGGCTTGGCGGCGAGGCGCGGCGAGTGTCGAGCGGCGTGGCGGGGAGGAGGCTTGGTCTAGGAACCGCGGCACCGGAACGCCGCGCCGCCATTGGCTGCCGTCGGCCGCCTCGCGCCGCGGTTGCCTCCCATTGGTCGCGGCAGTCTCGCGGTCCGCGGTCCGCGAGGCGCCGCGCGGAGCACCGCGGGGCGGGGCGGGGCGTCGCGGGTAGCGTCCTGCCGCGGGGTACGCGTGACAAGGAGGGGGGCGGAACTGCTATTCGGCCGGGGGCACCGTGGCAGCGAGCAGGTGGCTACCCCCAGGTACCCCCGGCGCGCCGTGCCAGGCCCGGCCCTCAACACGTTCAATGGGGACACAATACCTGTTGCGCCATGTGCTGAGTGAGAGCGCAAACGCGCGCGTCCGGCTTGTTCGAAGCGTGTTCAAAGCTGCTCCCGTTGTGTCACCAATTACGTCACTAACCCAGCACGCATTTTCGCGAGCGCGTCGAACCGATCACCGACGTGAGAGGAACTCGAAAAGGGAAGCGCGTACAGAAGCCGCGCGTTCTGCGGATAGCGTGCGGCGTGCGTTGCGCGCAGGATGTGACTCACAGTGTCTTTGGCATTGTGATTTGTCCATGTTCACCTTTGCGTCTTTGATCCGATCTGCTGCCGGTCGAGGAGGTCACCTCCCTTCGCTTCGCTTCCCTTCGCTTCCCTTTGACCCATACATCATAAGAGGCGCGATGGCCGCTACTTGCAGTGTGCGGTGCGGAGCGGTGCGGGGCCGCATACGGAAAACACTTGCATCCGCCTTTGTCGCTTCGCGGTGGGGAAGGGGGAGGGGGAGGGGGGAGGCGTCCACCGGATACGTGCTACATGTTGTCCGCGCGGTCGGCAGCCACAGTCGTTTGCGTTTCGATAAATCGTCTCCCCGAAGTGCGTCCGCAAACGGCCGGCCAATCGGCCACACGGCGGAGGGGAGGGGGAGTCCGGACCGGCCGCCCCGGACGCAGCCTAAAGGAACACGCGCGCACTTCGGTAGCGAGTCCTCTGCGAGTCCTGCGAGTCTGTGGCCCCAGAGATAAGCGGCTCAGCACGAGAAGCAAAGCAACGCGAAGCAACGCGAAGCAACGCCCGCTGCTTTTCGGGGTTCCAGCGCAGATTCATGGGGAAGGGTACGGCGTGTCAATGCGTCTGTGTGTGTGTGTGTGTGTGTGTGTGTGTGTCGAAAAGGTACTGTAAATGTATCTTCCGCGCACAGCTGACGTATGCGGCCGGCTCCGCTCCGCACTGCACGCACTGGCACGAGCCTCATACTATAACATAGGTGGTAATGAGTGCCATACATTATGCTCTCATGAACAAGACGGGGGTGAAAAATGATCCTCCCTCCCCCTCCCCCCCTCTCTCGGCCGCGTGCCACTCGTGGATCGCCGCGGCTGACGCGCGGGCCAACCGCAGCGGAGAGAAATAAATGAATTCGAGATGTACTCTCCTTTTACACACATACCCGCCGCACGCACACGCGCCCAGTCACGCAGTCGCCAATGTTGGTCACGGCACCATTAGTCATTCATTCATTCATTCATTCATTCATTCATTCATTCATTCATTCATTCATTCATTCATTCATTCATTCATTCATTCATTCATTCATTCATCATTCATTCATTCATTCATTCATTCATTCATTCATTCATTCATCTCATTCATTCATTCATTCATTCATTCATTCAGCGGAGCGAGGGCATCGAGATGATGATCGCTGCAGCTTCCGGCCGCGATTGCGGGACGCGTCCCGAACAATGAGCCCCGAAAGATCCATCCTCATCTCTCATCGACGTTCGACGCTCGTCGGATGTTCCGGTCCCGCTGTGCCGCCCAAACCGCCCGGCGTTGGCATCGGCGGACGGCCCCGACGGGCCCGGACGGCCCCGACGGGGCGGTCGGGCCCCTCCGAAAGCGGACCCGAAGTCGCCCGAAGGCAGCCCGACGGGCCTCGGGGCGCTCGGATGCAGATCTTCATCGTATCATATCTCTCACAGGAAGCAAAATGGCCCGCGGGCAGCACAACCCAACCAGGCCGGTCGGGACCGAGTCGGGACGTCATCCCAGAGGACTAGGGCGTCTTCCAGCGTCTCCCTCTCCTTCTCCTTCGTCCCGGGATTACGAAGGAAAGTAACAGGTGGTGTATGACAGCCTCTCTCTCCCTCTCTCTCTCTGTCTGGCCGCGACCGCGCCGCGCCGCCCGATGGCACTGCCGATTGCTATGGTAATGGCGATAAAAAGGTGATATGCATCGCGATACCGCACGACGTGGTGGAGCGTGGCGGGCCACAGTCTGTCTCCCCTCTCTCTTTCCCTCTCGTGTCACCGTAACAGCCTGCTGTAACAATCCACAACCACTGTAAAATAATAACAATTTACTAACGATTTACAAAGGCTCACGTGGTGGCGCGCCAGCTGCTGTGCTATGACGTGACACTCTCAGGGGAACGTGTGGGGAGTTGCCTGCACCGTAAGGCCTGCCCTGCTCCGGCTCGTCAAGGAGGTTCAATGTAAGGCTCGACTCTCAGTCCACACATGTCAACCAGGGTGTTTCCTGTTTTCTAAAACAAAAAAGAAACTCAATAAAATTTCAAAAAACTTCGGCACTTTACTTATATGTGTTGCAATTTTTTTTTCATAAAATCAGGGGTAGGTAGCTGACCTCAGTCACAACTAATCCAGGGTGACAACGATCTTCGCCAAGGCGGATGGTGCAATGCGTCCTCTTCCTCGCCGGCTTACAATCACGGGTCGCGCTAATCGCCGTGAGCTGCCAATTTGGTAAGCAAAGCGCGCGAGGCACTGTAGGCCAGGCCGAGGGCGCCCGTCTCTCTCTAACAAGCACCTCTGGCGAGCTGCCTGACGTCTCGGTGCGCTATGTCGCGAGAAAGTCATTATGGATTAGATTTGGCCGCAACTTCCCCCTTATGCAAATGCGCGCCCCTTCCCCCCTTTCGCGCCAATTTCTCGACACAAATCCCTCAGTCATTCCGCGCGGCTTCGCGCGTGCGTGCGTGCGTCCGTCCGTCCGCCCGTCTTCCGTTCATTCAGCGAGCGTGACTCGAACGCCGCGGGGCGTGGTGCGGCGTGGCGCGGCGGTGGAGGGGGTGGAGAGTGAAGCAGTGATTGCAGCGAACACAGCCAGCCATCCGCATGGAAGACTATTGACCTTTATGAATGGAACGGACGACATGAATGAATGTCTCGCGTTGCGTACGCACACACACACACACACACACTCACACTCACACACACACACACACACACACACACACACACGGAGAGTGTGTCTCATTTAACTCACCTTGGCCCGCTAACGACGAGGATAAAGACAACAAAGACAAAAGCAGCTGCCTTCGGTGCAACAGTTTTGACACCTCTTCGCTGTGCACGTGCCACCCTACTTCGAGATTTTTGAAAATGCGTCAGAATCAAACGACTACTTTCATTAACTGCACAGAGAAATTTTTTCTTCGAAACTAACAGGCTTTAGTGTGAAAGAATGGAGAAAACTTTAGGGCCGTCCTGGCTAGACATGAATGAATTGTCCAGTAGCGCTCACTACTGCTAGC